GCATCCCGCGTTTTAAAGTTAAAGTATTTTCGAAAAAATTAAATGAGTTTTCAAAAATTAAAGCAGTGCTTTCCATTTATAGCGCGAAAAATTTACTATGATTTTAGTAAGTTTAGGCGGGGTGTTACATGTTACGTGTTTTATGTTAAAAATTTGGTTTGGGGATCCCCGTAAAAGTATCAGATGCTTGCTATTTATAGTAACTTTTTGGGATACATATCGGGATTTGTGCGATGCCTTTTTCGTAAAGCTACTTTTTGGTGGGCGGCATTGTCAGCGGGTCCCACTTGAATGATGAAAGATCTCGTGGTTCGTGAAAATGGCGTGTGGGTGCCTTGTCACCAGTTTATGAAGTGGTGACCTCGGTTCGTGTTGTCTTCGGTTTGCAGAGACTTCGGTTTGGGATGACCTCGGCGTCAGGGTCACCTCGATTTTCTATGGTTTGGTCAGTTCGGCATGTGAACTGGAATAATTGTTGATCGTATCGGTGTTGGTAATAATCCGTCTAAAACATGATTTTGAGGCTAATAACTTCGAATTACCGAATCGGATGATAACACATTCAATGTCGCCTCTACCCATGGATATTTACCACCACCCCTCAACTGGCTGTTTACCCTTTTTTGACAACCAAATAAACTTAGGACTTAGGTTTCCCCTTAGTCATGCTCTCCTCTACCTCTGCAACGTGTTTGGGGTACCTATTAACCAAATGTCGCCAAATTCCATTCGTCAGTTAGTTATCTACGCCATCCTTTCTTATTGTAGGATAGGTCTTATTGATGGTTCCAGCCAAACCATGTAATGCAAATGGACAAAAATGGTTGTAAGATTTCAACCACTCCATATGATTAGACATTTTTTTAACAATTGTAGGTTGTAATTTTGACGTAAAGCAGCATCTTCTCTGCTATAAATAGCACTCAGTTGAGGGCTGGAAAATGCACCAAGAAGCGAAGAAGAAAAAGATCAGAAAGGAAATTTTTTGGAGTGTTATTTTTCAGTGAGATAAAAATAGAGTGTTTGAGTAAATCCTGTGAGTGTGGGAAAAATACACTGGGTTGGGTATCAACTCTATTACTCTTTGTTAAGAGTGGGGTTCTCACTGGGTCACTATATTTTACATTTCTAGTGTAAGGGAGTGTGAAAAGATATTGCAATTATCTTGAAAATATAGTGGAATTGTTCGGAGGTTGTCCCGTGGCTTTTTCCTCTATTTGGAGGTTTTTCCACGTTAAATCTTTGTGTCTTATTTCTTGCATATTTTATTTATTTGGGATATTCTTAGTATGCTCTGTGGTTGCGGTTTAATCTGATCTTCCACATCAGAAAAGAATTATTCCGGTTTTATTGCAAGAGATTTCTTTTGTCATTCTTGAGTTGCTGGGATTGGGATTATTGTTCACCATTTTTTTACCTTGATATTTTAATTTACATCTTCCGCATTTGCGCATCTGAGCCCAACAAGTGGTATCAGAGCTCAGCTTGGGCTCTGTATTGACCAGTGTAAATTAAATGGAGGAGAACGTGGGTACTATGGTGAAGCTCACAGCAACAAATTACTCCATTTGGAAGCCAAAAATGGAGGACATGCTTTTCTACAAAGATCTGTACGATCCTGTAGAAAAGGGAGACAACAAGCCAGATGACGTGAAGGATGACGATTGGAAGAAATTACACAGGAAGGCTGTCAGTTTAATCCGGCAGTGGGTGGATATCAGCATATTCCACCATGTTGCCACAGAGTCGAAAGCCCATACTTTGTGGAACAAAATTGAACAGATGTACCAGAGGAAGACTGCACAGAATAAAGCTTTCGTCATTAGAAAGCTTGTAAATTTAAAATATCGGGATGGAAGATCAATTGCTGAACACTTGAATGAGTTTCAAGACATGGTGAACCAACTTGTTACCATGGAAATGAAACTTGATGAAGAACTGCAGGCGCTGTTACTTTTGAGTTCTTTACCGGATATCTGAGAGACTCTGGTGGTCTCGTTGAGCAACTCTGCCCCTGAGGGAAAACTGACTTTGACCCAAGTCAAAAACAGTATGTTTAATGAAGAAACAAGGAGAAAAGACTCTGGGGCAAGCAGTTCCCAAGCCCTGGTCACAGAAACCAGGGGGAGAAGTAAAAGCAGAGGTCGGGATAACAAATCCAGAGATAAATCACAATCTCAACCCAGGAGAAAGTTCAAGTGTTACCACTGCGGTGAAGAAGGGCATATCAAAAGAAACTGCAAAGCTTGGAAGAACAGAGGTTGGAGGAACAACAAATCAGAGAACGGTGAAAATACCGCAATCCTTGTGATCAATGAGGAAGTGGTGTTGCTCTCTGTTGAAGAAGAGGAGTGTCATGTTGCTGACTCATATGTTGAATGGGTCATTGATTCAGCAGCATCATATCATGCAACCTCTCACAAGGAATTCTTTTCTCTATACAAAGAAGGAGACTTTGGTAGAGTAAAGATGGGAAACAACAGCATTGCAAATATTGTGGGAGTTGGTGATGTGTGCATTCAAACTGATATTGGGTGCACAATAACACTGAAGGACGTACGACATATATCAGACTTACGTCTGAATCTGATCTCTGTGCATGCATTGGATCTAGCAGGGTATACTAACAATTTTGGGTAATGGCACGTGGAGGCTTACCAAAGGATCATTGTTAGCTGCTAGAGGTACACTGAGATCTACACTGTACAGAACTCAAGTGAAGCTGATCAAGGGTGATTGAATGCAGTCGAGGATGATGCTTCGCCAAATTTGTGGAACAAAAGACTGGCTCATATTGGTGAAAAAGGATTGCAAATTTTGGCAAGAAAGTCCCTCATCCCATTTGCCAAATATTCAAAATTGAATCCTTGTGATTATTGTCTCTTTGGGAAGCATCATAGAGTGTCTTTCAGCAAAACCTCGAAGCTGAAACAAAATGTGTTGGAGATGGTGTATTCTGATGTATGTGGACCCATGAAAGTGGAGAGTCTCGGTGGTAGCAGATATTTCGTGACATTTATCGATGATGCTTCACGAAAATTGTGGGTGTATTTTTTGAGAACGACGGGTGAAGTTTTTCAATACTTCA